GAGATGTCGCGAACCGTCCGCGAACTTCTCGCGAACGGTTCGCCACGAGCTGTTCGCGGCGAACTCCGGTCAGCTGACACGTCCCGGCCAATCTCCAGCAGACCCTCCCTCCCAGACCCTCCTACTTCCTGGACAGCATCCATGTTGAAACATGAACTTCTCGCAAACGGTTCGCCACGAGCTGTTTGCGGCGAACTCCGGTCAGCTGACACGTCCTGGCCAATCTCCAGCAGACCCTCCCTCCCAGACCCTCCTACTTCCTGGACAGCATCCATGTTTCATGGATGCTGTCCAGGAAGTAGGAGGGTCTGGGAGGGAGGGTCTGCTGGAGATTGGCCGGGACGTGTCAGCTGACCGGAGTTCGCCACGAACAGCTCGTGGCGAACCGTTCGCGAGAAGTTCGCGGACGGTTCGCGACATCTCTACTTCCTGGTAAAATATTTTATAAATAAATAAATAAATTAAATTATTATAAGTATTCCGCTATTCCCAATGCCTTATACATTGTCTGTCTTCAAATAGTGCTATGATACAGTCAGAAGAGGGGAGGAAGGAAAGGGGTTAATGGTTATTTGTATGTTCACAAGATGTAAATTTGGCCCCAATAGTGTTCATCCAAATAATCCGTTTTTACCATTACCAGTTTGTGGGGGAAAAAAAGTTGACATTGAAAGGTCAACCATACAGGATTTGCAATCACAACAAATGCACATGCTCACTACATCCAAAATGTCTTATTTCAACATGGTAAAAGTAGAAGCTTATCAATGAACATTTTAAATATAACAGGCTAATGACTCTGTCACGTGTTAACATGCATGCAGGTTAGATCTTTCCATGATGCATCCATTTTGTTTGTCTTTAACTTCTTCAGCTCAGGGTATAGATCTCGAGGACGCGTAATTAACAATGAGAACTGAAGTTAAGCATAGATTTAAGTGACTAATAATTTCTAAGTTGGGGAGAGTTACTGGCAGGAAATGGTTGTGACGTTTTTGGATTGTGATCACGTTGAAAACACACACTCAATTCAGACAAAAGTTCAATACTCGTTATCAATGGGATGCCATTACTGGGTTGTGATTGACCCTAATGTTCCTAAATTAATTATTAGCAGTGAAGAAAGTCAATGCTTCAGTCCTCTAGTGGACCTATCTCTCTCACACAATAGTTTCAGCTTTATTTAAATATCTTTGCTTGTTATTTGGCTCTGCTCTCCGCTCCTCCCTCTTTCTCCAGAATGTATTGGATGGAATAGGGTAAAGGAACACAGACAAGTCATATACACAAACACTGAGCAGAACACATTTTCTCCTCAGTTTACGTAAACCAGAGGAAGGGATTAGAATCTCTTCTTTGATGAACTGGGATTTGGAATGTTTCTACAAGTTGATCTGAGCGATAAAAGTGACTCTGATAATTCACAACAAAGTAAAAAAAACAGTATTACTACCCGCTTCAATGTGCTCTGCAACTCATTTTCTATGCAAAATCTTTTTTTATTATTATTATATTTAAAGAGTTGTTTTTTTTTAATTTATTTTTATTTCATAATGGAACTCATTTAAGGATTGTACAGAGGGGGGAAAAAAGAGTTTTCATATTTTAGGTAACAATGTGTTTATCAGATATTTATCCTGTGGTAAATTCTTGTTTTGACAATATAATACGCAAATATGAGAGATGCCTGTTAATGGAGAGCATGAAGTGTCTATTTTGAAGCTAAATCTAATCAAATTGATAAATTAATATTGTCATTTTGAGCATTTTTAAATAAACCATTCCATGCATTATAAACTATGTGTGTATAATTTTGTATTGTATGTATATATATATATATATATATATATATATATATATATATATGAGACAATTCCTCTTCCCAGTGCACCTACTGGCGTACCCTTCTGAGTAGGAGCAACTTTCTTTAACCACTATTTATGAAATAACTGGTTTAAGCAGGGCCTTTGTCTTCATTGCCTTCTTTACCTCTAGTTAATAATTTGTATGGCAATTGCCTGTTATCAATGTCAGTTATCCCTATTCTGCAACTGTAAAGCTCTGCATAATATGTTGGCGCTGTAAAATTAATAATAATTTTCATAGAAGTGCAAAGACTGACAAACAGAACTGGGACTCCATACTGCCGAACGCTTGGATAATTCTCCAAATAGTTCACTAACAAAAACTGGAGTCACAGAATATAATTGGGTAAATGTATGTACAAATTATAATTTTAATAAATTTTAGTTACATTTCAGAATTTAATACATTTCAGAATTTTAATACATTTCAGTTTAAAATGCTGCTGCTAAATTTAGCATATGCTGTTGGTAAAAGAGTCTGTATATTATCCATATGTGTTAAAAGTGATGTATACACAGCCTGTTTATATCTTACCAAAACAATGTGCAGTTTCTCTTTACGTGCATTTCTGCTTTTGCTATTTGCTGTTGTGGCGACAAATGCTATGTTGTATTCCCTTTACAAACAAACAAACAAAAAAAGTGATGTATGCCCTCATACTTTAGAATGATTAAAAATAAATGGCGATCGATCCCTTGGGAGGGGTGGGTGATATTTTGGGGATCATATAGATATTTTTTTTGGGCAAGCAAATAGGTCAATCACAAAGAATACACGGGAAATAACAGTGTTAGAGGTGAAAAGGGAATATTTTACAAAACATTACAAAACACGTGCACAGCAAATCCAAAATTCCTAGTCTAAAAATTTAAACGGGCACAATCTGAGTCGGAAAGTAGCTAAAAAACAGGTAAATCTGCCCAAATTGTCTACTTCTGAAAATGTTTGCTCTCATAGAAGTAGTCTAACGGGGCTATTCATTAACGTGACAATTCGAAGTGAATTGAAAGTGAATTTAAAATTTAAGGCCTGATTAGCCGAGCGGAAAGCATAGCTGATTTATAGGATTTTTTTCCAGTTCTGCTTGTTTACCTTAAATTTGAAAGTCAGTTTGAATTCTCACTTTACTTAAAAACCCTCCAAAACGACCTGAATTACACATAGGTCCAGCAGAAAACCCCCACACTGGTCATCTGAAATGTGTACTATTAAATGACTATTGATGTACTAAACTGGTAATATTGAGCACAAAATGGTGGTTTATACTTCTGCTATATACATTAGACTTAAGAAATTCACATTGGAGTACAAGCATTGCAGAAACATTGCAGTGTATGTAATTTTAGCAGAAACTGGTAATAAAATAGCTAGATAAAAGGTTCAAAACACCCAATGTGAAATACTTTGTTTTGTGTGCTTTCACATCATCCATTTTATACTTGAATTGATGAACTGCTAATATTCTAGAAAATGGAGACACAAGCCCTGCACATCAGTCTGTCACATATTTAGCTTGTTTTAGCTTCACAAAACTTGGAGCAATTATACGAGTTGATATTGCTGTACTTTAAGGGACGTAATCCAAATGCAACTTTTTATTGCTATATGTTAAAAAATGTGACTGATTTTGGCAAAATTGGTGATAAATTGATCACTTGAAGACGCAAAATTCACCACGTGAAACTATGCATTATTTTTTGTAAATAGTACGCTTTTATGATAGTAATTGTAATAATAGCAGAAAATGTTATGAAGTAGCAATCTTTTAAAAATTTATATAATCAGCTGAGCACCACGAGTTATGCGTTAACTAAATATTAAGACAGATAAATTAAACAATTCCGAGGCATTTTTCTTTAGCTACACTTGTTGTGTACAAATACTAAGTCATTACCATAGGAAATAAACTCGTTTTAAGTTTTCCTTTTTTTTAATTTATAGTAATGTATTCACTATCAGTTGTTGGTGTATCTGCGAGAAAGTGAATTAGTGTTGAGAAAATAAAAATGGCTCTGATCCTAAAATGAAAACATTGAAAATATGCTTAAGAGGTTAATAAAACATTATTGTTTTAATTAATGTGTTTTTTTAACACGCCCTAATACCTATATGTTAATTACTTATAATTTTCTTTGTTGGTTGTTAATGTCTGTGTTCATTTGCACATGTCATGTAAAAATGAAAAATCCACAATTATTTATAGAGCTATTTCACCTTAAATGTAATATTAACACCTTAGAGAGCAATGACATGCAAGTCATGTCAGGAAGGCATTTGGCTAATCCCCAGATCGTTAATAGGTTAAACAGTTAACTATAATTTTTTTGTGGTATTTCTTTAACCCTGTTTGATCTAGTTCACGTTTGTTTTAATCTGAATTATCCATTTATATATATATATTTTTATCACCCTTCAACCATGGCTTTATCAGAGTGAGTCAGGAAGGCCATGGGAAGTGGGAGATAAGAAAATACCCCTCACCCCAGCTTCCTTTTAGGTTAAACTTCACATCTTGGCTGGGGATAATGAGAGTTGCAGTCAAAGACATGTAGAGGCCACAATTGCTATGGTGTGTGTGGGGAATTCTCCTCAAACCTCTATTCCATTTATTTAACCATGTATCTGGTTTGTAATAAAGTCTGGCGACCCCACATCTCATAACTTTCTAAACCAGGGCTGGCAAAACATTAAGCCCCCTCCAACTTTAGTGTAACTACAGCTCCCACGATGCTTTGTCAGCTTTTAGACGAGCAAAGCATTATGTGACTTGTAGTTCTACAACAGAGGCGTATTTACTTTATTTTAACCACAAATTATTTAAAATTATGCGATCCATGCCGCCTTAACCCTTTCAGCGAAGACATCCCCATTCATTGTGGGCAGATCCAGGCAGATAACATCTCTCTGCCACTTTAAGAAACTTCGGCAATTCAAGTTCATCAAAGTTGAAGTTAAATAACTTTTTTTTTATGGAAAATACAAGCAGCTGGTTTGGTGAGGATGACAGGAGTGGCTGGTGAATATCCCAGGATACACAGGGGAGGAGGACACCCAGCTGATGCCATTACTAGCAACAAGCACAGCCCACCACCCCTCCCCAGCCTCTCCCCCTCTCCAACTTTAATTGATTAACAAACTGGAAGAGTCTAAGCTGCTGCTCCCCTCCTCACTCACTCCCCCTCTCCATCATCCTGCCCCCCATTCCTCCCCTCTCCTTAATTAAGCTTTCACTTCTGCAAGGGGGGGTGGTGGTATAAAGACCCCTCATCCCACCCCAGCTCTCCTGCACTCTCCCACCTTAGCACTCACCTCTACACACCTCTCTCTATCTCCCACTGCATCCCTCTCTCAGCACCGGGCACTGTGCACCTCTAGACCCACCATCACTAGCCTTAGCAGCCCAGGGGAAGAGGGGGACTCATTCTATCCAAAAAGCTGAAACTCTCTAATCTGCCACCGTGGACTCTGCAGAGGAATCAGCTGTTGGTATATACGCCATGAGTACCCTGAAAAACGACAATGAGCACAACAATAACATAGAAGAAGAGGTAAGTGCCTGTTTTCAACCTACCTGTCCACACCCTCCCTGCTTCCCGTCTCTTTTAAGGCTGTAAAACTGTTACATTGTTTTCATCCACCCTTCTCTTTAACCTTCTACTTCAGGTGTTCTTTAGAAGCCTCAAACAGCTTTGTTTTATTACTGGGAGTTCTATTTTATTACCTCCTTACTGGGTGTCACTGGCTCCTTCATATGTAGTTATTTGACTAAACGTGGGTCCTATAGACTTGCTGTGGCAATCACAGCTTCCACCTTTTTATTAAGAGCTACAAATGGCTGTCTAAAGTCCAGTTACTCTTAAGATCATGTAGGTCCAATTTAAATGGGTTTTATTATTTTGTAACTATTATACTGTAGCAAGGTTAAAACTAACTTCATTGGCTTTTCCTGCTTCCTTTGGTAAAGGATTCCGGGTTTATATATAACTTTATTCAATAAATTTATGTTGTACAATTGATGCATAACGCTACACAAAACAGCAAAAATAATTGTGACTTAACTGGTTTTTATACAACTCTCTTTGGGAATGATGTGGGTCTTCAATCAAGCTGTTTTGAGATGGAAAAATTTGCTTCAAAGTCTTGTAATGGGCCTAGGTTTAAAATACCTGCATTTCAGTGTGCAGGTAATAAATATCTTTATTTTCTTTTGACAAGGCTCCTACTGGGGTGTGTATGTATATATATATTTTTTTTTATTATTTTAAACTTAAAAAAACTAGACTGAATTTTTTTATATTAAGCTATTTTAGGGAATTATCGCAATCTTAAACTTTGCAGCGCGGCCTTCTATTCACTTAGATTTTTTTTTTTTTTTTTCTCAAATAACACTGTTTATTTTCTAAATGGAACTTCAAAAAAAAAATCTCTACAGATAACAGGGTCCATAAACATCACCTCTAGCTAACCTTGAACCTGTTCATTAGTGCATGTAAATGGAACGTGTTCCTCTGCCCTCTAATGGTCACCTCCAATTTGTGGCAAAAAGAACAAGTTTGTGTTGGGTAATTTAATCTACCGACTGTGTACTGCTGTCTGTAAAGTACAGCAGTAGAACTTTGTTACAATTTATAATGACTAAGCCTAAAGTAAAAGCTACGAGTGAGCGTAAATGAATTTGGAACCCAACTCTCCCAATCTACTTGACTGGACAGACTTGGGATCACCGGAAAACTAAATACAATGCTTAGTGGGTTTTATTTTTAAGAAAGCTCGGGTGCCTCGTCAATACATTCTATATTGTGGAGGAGCTCTATACTTGACTAGAATATCTTCACAAGGTTTTTTGTCCTTTCCCACAGACTGTTCAGTGATCAAGCAACCAGTCAAAATTTTAAAGGGTGAAAACTTAATACTTTATTAGGCTTTAATGCACATTTATTATATGCACTTTTTCTGTTAGGGGGTTGTTTACTAGAACTAGTGCCACTGTCTCGACGATAAACCATATCGAGTACTGCTAATTAACCTCCAGACAACAGGCTTTCTTGCAAGTTCTAACAGAATATTCCCAAAAACATACTTTTAAACCTCCGTAAACACTGCATAAAAATATGTGCCCTGATACAATGCACGATGTAGAATTGCTACCCTGTTTGACTAGCTGAATTCCATATACCTTGCAGAGATAGGGGTGACTGGGTGGTTCGATTTCAGGGTGTCTGGTATTCCTTGCTAAGAGAAGGAAGGAGCATAGAGGGATGATATTAGGCTCTTCTGCTTAATAGACTGATATCAACTCAATCACACAAATCCTAGACAGGCTTTTTTGGGGGGGGAGGGGGTGCGCACATGGGGGAAGGGTACACTAACAGGAACTTGACTAGTTTGCCACAGGTGAAACCTATTGTTGCAAAAGTCTGTAAAATTTTAAAGGCCTCTGCATCTTAATGCAGGCTATTAATGTTTATTTGCCCTGCCTCTGTAATTATTTGATGGGATTTTACTATTCCTATTTAGGTACTTGGATGTGAAAAGGTACACTTAATCATTGAACATGACGTGGTCACATTGGTAACGAGTTACTTTGCTTGTTACCCTGGTGTGTAAAATGCAAAAGAACTTGCAAGTCACATTTTGTCTAACATCAATGGTATTGGCTTCCTTTATTAAATGTTAATCTGTAAACTAGCTGAAAATAGGCATTTTAAACTTGTATCTGTGGCAAAATGTCTGTATTGACTGAACATTCCAATGACTTGAGCATTCGGAGTTAAACATTAAGTAATTGCTCTGCCCATAATTGGCCTCTTTTTCCCCTTCATAAATCTTGCATGTAAGCTCTGTTTTGCCATTCTTGGTCTTGAGCTCAGTATTGCTGTGCTTGAGGTATGACTTGGTAAAAACTTCCTTGTCCACTATTTAAAAAAAAAAATAAACATGCTTTGGGGGTGCACTTGTAGTCAGAGGGTGCTTTCATACGTAATGTAGACGTATCCTGTTATGCTATGAATTGTCCATTCTTATATTAATAGAACTGGTACAATACACTCTCTTCAGGGTATCTTTAGAAGAGGGTTTTGGGGGTCAAACATTCTTGTGGAAGAATTAGTTTGTAGTAAACTAATTACTAAACAAAGTGGCACAACAATTTTGTTCCACCCCTTCATAACTTCAAATGGACAAGAATGACTCATTATATTTTAGGAGTGGAAGTGGGGACAGGGGCTGTTCTGAGAAATCATAGGTGAATTACTATCTTATGCAACAAAATGTTTACAAGGAACACCTTACTAGGAGTAACATTGCTGTGGAGCTCCTACAAAAGAGGGATATTGGAAAAGAAAATGGACTCACTAAATAGTGACACTTGGTAGGTTTGTTACTCCACACATGAGAATAGTTTTCTCCTTCTAATTTATAGTTGATATTTACAAAATAAGACAAATATGAGTGATATTGTGAGATAACAGTGTAATCCCTATGAATTTAATTTCAAAAAACCTATTCTGAAACTAATGATAAAAATCTCTTGCCGTTTGTTTTGCAGTGACAAACCTGTAAACCTAACAATAACACTGTTATCAGACAAACTGTGGCTTGCTAGGTGTTCACCAGATAACTGCATATCTTAGACCAGAATATTTGGGCCTGAAACCCAAACCTATCTGGCTAATGAATAAACGCAAACTAGTCAGACTGAACAGTTAAAGGGATGAACAGAGTGCTTAATTTTGACTTGTAATGACCGCTTTCTTTAGTCAGAATTGGTAAACAACGTGCCCTTTAAATCTACCATTGATTTAAATTGTCAGTGTGATGTATTTACACTTTTTCTCCTCGTTCCTACATGGAACATGCAAGACTTCTGACTGAGCTGATCTCAGCAATATACAGAACGATGGAAAAAGCTACAAAGTAGTGTACTTATTACACTTTTTTTTTGACCAGTCAGACATTAGTGATAGGTGTGATTTTGAGAACTTTGTCTTTGCACAGTCTCAAGAGTTCCACTAGAAAGCTGAAAATGAGATGTGGTGACTCGCCTGTGGGTCTTGGCACGTCTGTGTCTTGACATCGGAAAGTCTGAGTCCAATGAACCCACAATATTTTGAGTTTCCTTTCCCTGAAATAAATCATAGAAAATTAGCTTCTGCCTAAAATGCTCAGAACATGGCTCTAAAATGGAAGATTTAAACAAATGCCATGGGAATAACTGCGTAAGATAATTGGAAGCAGCACCCAGATTTCTGAGTAGGCAAAGATTTTTACTTTCCTGTTGCATAGCGACACCTTTGCATTCTGTATCCTACTGATTAATAGATATGAAACTGACTGTCACTGGACTTTCAACTCCTCTGTAAAACATTACAGTAACAATAGTTTGGAGGGATTTGTTTCACATGTGGTAGCACAATTTTGCAAATGCCCAAAACCTTTCCTCTGTCTCTATCTTCCTATTGAAATTCTTAATGTCTCTGAACTTGGATATACAGCTGTTGTAGGACTGTTCCCCCCATGATGCTTTTCCAGCCTTGAAGGGCAAAGTATCAAGAGACTTGTGGTTCTTCAGCTGGGAATCTTTGCCATGTCTGCTTTTTTTTTTTTTAATCAGGAAGGGGCTTAGGATAAATGACACACAGCATGATCACCAACTTGTATGACATCTGCAAGCTGCTCTTGATTCCCCATTTTAACAATCTAAATTCCAAGCTTTTGTGGAACTAAAGCTTGGTTTCTAGGTCCCTTAAGAAAATGGACCTTAATGAAAGGATCCCATCTCCATTTCTCAGTGATTTTGCATGAACATTCTAAAGCCCTGGTTCATCTTATAAACATCCTGTACTGGTCAAGCCCCTTCAGCAGGTTTTTAAAGCAAATGTAAACATAGGTGAGATTCTGCAGAGCTGTAAGTGTGATAACCTCAAACGTGTACTTGAGGCTCCTCGAATACATACTCTGATGGAGCTCCTATTAAGTACCTCCACCAGGTCCACTTCCTAGGTACAATCAGTGACCCTGGATTGCTTCATCCCCAGTTGCTAAAGCTTGTCTGGGGTCACTGAGAACTCATCACCCTGGACAAGGCTGCAGCTCTTGTTCTCAGCAGGAGTCTTCAGCTCATCTCCCAGGCAGTTATCAACATCACTCCATACACTGTGACAAGCTACTGCCTTAACAAGAGCAACTGTGGCTCTCAGGCCCCCTAGCAGCGAACCAGCAGGTCCAAAAAAATGCTACTGGATTCCCTGAACAGACAGGACACTGTTTCCAATGGAACCAACAGTTGTTTTTTTGTTTTTTTATATAGTCTGGACTAGCCCCTTATGCATATTACTCTAATTATGGCGGCAAATGCAATCTATTACAAATAACCAAATCCTATAGGCAAATATACCAGAACTCTTAACACACTAACTTTGATAAAGGAGTAGGGAAGAAAATGACTCCCCTGCCTACAGAGGTCATGGGCAAATTAACCTGCCTTGCTATTCATATTGTGCATATTGCTGTTTCAGAAAGTGTATTGGCCTAGATAAAGAGTCACTGTAGGCACTCAGACCACTTCAGCTCAATCAAATAGTCTGGGTGCAAACTCCCATCACCCTTAATCCTGCAATAGTAATTATTGCCGTTTTTATAAACTGCAATTGCCTCTGAGGGTTAACTCCTCCTAGTGGCTGTCAACCAGACTGCCACTAGAGGGACTTCCAGAATTGAAACTGACTCTGGGTCTGTTTTTCTGACGCTGGACATCCTGCATGAGGACCTCCAGTGACATTTTCCCCAGTGAATAATGCTTTCTATGGGACATCCATGGCCGCGCATGCGCATTAGGTTTCTGCTGACATGGGAGGTGCATGGGCAGAGCTTAGCCAGTGAGGGACATCGGTGCTGGACCCAGGTAAGTTATTGACCCCTTCAGTGCCGCAAGGGGGGTCCTTGACAGGGGGAAGCTATAGTGACAGGAAAGCGGTTTTCCTGACCCTATAGTTTTCCTTCAAGTCGTGTCCTTGGTCATGCCTTATTGTGGTTTCTGCCCTGATGCATGTTGGTGATTATAATCTCGATGGGTCAGGATTTCTAGACCGTTTTACATTAAATATAACCTATCTATACCTATTTGTGGGATTCACATTTCCTGTAACTTGGGGTACTAAAATAGGCCACTCCTCAACCACTTGAGTAAATGTAGCAGCCTGTTCCCTCTAAGGTGTGACCATGCATAGAGGGTCAGAAGATGCTCACAGCATCCATCAATGGATGTCAGAGGCCCTGGGAGGTAGCTGGTCAGGCACCCCAAAGCAGGAGGAAGAGTACAGCCTGTTGGGGAGCACTGATGTGTCTCCAGTTCCCCTCTGCTCCTTCACATGCCCTCTGTAGTGATGCCTGTAGCCAGAATGACTTCACTCCAGCTTAAATATAATAGGTGTACAAGGAAGAAGAGGGAACTAAAGATCCTCACACCAGCTTTCCTAAAGGTAGGGAGGTTTGATGGGACTTACATTTTATTTCAGTGACTGTGATCAAGAAGCATTAATGTGTCAGCACTGCAAATTCTATGGTGACAACCACTCTCCATGTTTGCTATAATTGTCAGCTGAATTTGATTCATGTTTGAAGTGCATTTATGTGTAGATCACAATTTATTGGACATAATTAACAGTTTGTGCCTAAATTGGGGATTAAAATTCTTGCCTAATACAGTCAACAAGCTACCAATATTGTAGATTAGCAGAATGTATAAATGGAGGCTGCACGGTACCAAAACTATCGGATCAATTTCAGGTTTATAATCACACAATAGATTTTCTGCACACACCCCCTAAAATTAGAGGGAACATTGCCGCAACCTGGTATCTGACTTCTACTTGCCCAGGTGCTTCGGTGGTGACGATAACCAGCCCCATATGGAAATTGCAGGGTTAATACTTTGCATTAACACTGTATTTGGAATACAGGGGTGTGTCTGAGCTCCTACTCAGGCTCTCTCCTGGGAAAAGAATAGCCAAAGCGACTTATAGGTTGTTCCCTCCCTTCATCCACTCCCCCCTAAAACATGAGCTGTGGCTTGAAGGGTAAAACTGGAATCTGTATTGTGACTCTTTATGTAACAGTCCCAACAGGGTGTCATCATGGAATAACCATGCATTGCACAATCTAGGCACTTTGCTGTTTAGACAACTGTATTATCTTGTCTGAAGTCATTTTTCCCATGGTGCCCAACTATAACTGCAAAACGGAGTTCCCATACTCTTGCCCCAAGCTCATTACTAGCTGAGGAGTAGTGTTCAGATCAGAGTTGTCTAGCCCAAGTAATGACTGGTTGAAGTCTAACAGGACTACAACCATTCTCTGATCTGACTCAGCGTTCCAAGCAACTTGCAAAGTCACAGTTGCTGCTAATCACTCAGAACCTTGGGGAAGACTTTCTCTAGGCCTTTGGTGCCACCAGAGGCCTCACAACCTGCCTTCCTTTCCCATCCTAATAGCCCCCATAGTAACATAAATTGCTCTGTGCACTGTCCTACGCAGCAACAAACTACCACCATATTTAAATTCTAGGTCCTCTTTGGATTTCTCTTTACTATGCTTCTTTACATTTGATCTTTCAATACAATGACCGTATGAACAGAAATTTCAAAAGCAAACTTAATAGAACATTGGGATTGTATGTAACGTATCCACACCATTTATGAAAATAAATTTCAGGCTAATCAATTAACATATGTTAAGGTGTCCTATAGTTGGGCAAGAACAAACAACTGACATGCTGCTAGACATTGGAGCATTGGGTGCTTCACTCCTTGCTGTCATCTTGGGGTCCTATGTATTGCTGGAGCTGCAGGGTTCTGCTGTTGGTCGGGACTCTGCTCCTGAGGGGAGTCATCTTCAGCCTATCTTAGTAGCTTCATGCATCCTGTTCTCAAGTGGTCAAAAAAATCTGAGGCTGGACACGATCAGGTCTTTCCTCGCTGATGTCTAGGATTTACATGGCATCAGCCATAGCAGGTTCCTTTAGCAGGGTTCTCAGTAGCCTTTACAATTCCTCCCAGTGTTCCTATGGTGGCAGGGTTGCCTCCATGGGGTGGACCGCAGGTTCTTGTGAGGAGGTAACTGGGTATGTGCCACTGCCATAGTCTGAGCAGGGCCAGGAGATCAGGCCACAGGATCAAGCTAGGGGCAGATGAGATCTTGTCTGGACATGGGTCACCAGGAGGATCCAGTATGTCGCCAGTGGAGTCACAATAGTTTGGTAATGCTGTAGGAAGCTTAACTAGGTGAGTGTGTGCAGAATGTCTCACCAGCATGAAAGTCAGGCCCCGAGCAGCATGTTCTGTATTTGTCTGAGTTTAACTGTACACAAAAAATGCACGCTTGCATTTAAATGTTATATACACTGACCGAAATGCAAACATGGTTTACAAAAACATGCCTACATTCAAACACCCTGCTTGGTGCTAAATATAAGCCTGCAAGGATGGGCAAAGTGTAGATCCCCAGCTGGCAAAGCCTTCTGAGACTAGTAGTACCGATGCAATCTACATTTTAGCCACCCCCTATGCTAGTGGAATGCAGTGTGGAAAAATGTGTCTGGGCTATGCTGCCAAAATGATGGGAACAAATTGCTGTAAGTATGTACCTGTGGGGTAACCTAAAAGGTGGCTCCCATATGTAAAGTTACAATTGGAAGGGCAGAGTGTCACTCGTTTGGTGTCTGCTTGGCTACTGTGTGGCTGAATAGCAATGTTTAGGAGCACCTGTAGGTAAAGTTACACAAGCTGGTATTTCCTGCTTAGTGTTTGCTTTATTTTGGTACCACCTGATTGCTAGACTTGTAAGGTAACATGCTTGGTTATCGCTATGGGGAACATCAGGGCACGGATGCACTCATCAGCAGATCGACAAGTGCTTGTAACCTCCTGGGCCAATGCCGTTCTGCACTACAGCTACTTCCTAGCAACACTGCTAGCGCTCAGTGACTTAACTCTGTTCAGATCCTGAATGAAGTGGGCTTGACAGGGTCCACAAACAGGTCAAAGGGGAAAGGGCATGCCAGATATGGAGGATGTGGCTTGTTTAATCACTTGATTTTTATTGTATTTACTTTTTTATAGAAGGAATACATATAAAAAGTGTGTAGCAGTCATATTTACAAAGTCTGACAATGGTTTGAGCTTAAAGGGACAATATAGGCTCTAGAACCACTTCACCTAATTGAAATGGTGTCTGGAGTCCCTCTCAGTGTAAATTTTTCTGTTGCCAATCAAAACTGCCAAAAGAATTCCACAAATGGCGGCAGAGAAAATGGCAGCACCCAGATTCAAGGAAGTAAAAGGAGGTGGCAAGGGCTGTGTAATCTTTAATGTACAGGACACAAAAGGAAACCAGAGGGGTGGGTGAGACAGTGCTACTTTAACATGAAACTGTCATGACTGCACACTTTAAAGGGACACTAGTCATCAGAACTAAAACTTAATGTAGTGACTCTGGAGTTCATACCATCCCGACTGGCTTTTTAGAGACTAGCTGGCATTTAAATTTCTGCCTAGTGAGAATTACTCAGATGGCTGCAGGTGGTTTCCTGGGTCGGTTCTGCACACTGTGCCACCTACATTCAACCTCTTAACACTCTTCATGGAGATGCACTGATGCCCTGCATGTGCAATAGTATCCCACTGCCCTCCTATGGAAAGCACTGGATTGGCTGAAATCAGTTTGATCTCAGCTAAGGTGGTCAAGCATGGGCAGAGCCAGCTGCAACCATACCTGCAGGGCTGGAGAAAGATGAGTAAAACTAACTTTTAACCAGTGGTAGGGGGCTGGTAAACTAAATTCCTGACACTAGTGTTGCTTTACAAATGTGTTATATGGACTATCAGCCATTGTGAACCATGGATACTTGGTGGCAAAGTCTTCTGACAAGGTCAGGAAGAGCAATATCCCAAAATATAATTGCAACACTGCAAGTCGGAGCTGACTTATTCAAATTTGTTGTAGGTACTCAGTCTCTGTAGTTGGTGAGTGCCTAAGCAGGAAAATGTAGTCAAGCATGACCTCTTAAAGGAACACTAGCATTAAAAATGCATGTTTGTATTCCTAACACTATATATCGTTTTAACCCATCTATGCTATGAGGAGCAAACAGTGATTCGAATCTGTAAGGAAGGGTTTGCATGACTTAAAACTGGTAATGTTTTGGGTGGCCTGGTGCTTTTTCAGTCTTACAGAAGTCCATTTGCTGCTGTATAACTTCTTCAAATAGAGAGGTATTTCAGATATAGGTACTCTGTACAAGCCTGTATTTTCAACACTATAGTGTCCTAGTCTCTAGATTGGAGGGCCCCCGTGTGCAATAAAACATGAGAAAAGACAAACCTTTTCCAGCACAGAGACTCTTAATGTTTCTGCTTTATCCACCTAAAACTCATCTTGGGGCATCTGTCTGTCCAATGCTGTAGCTAGAACATTATGGAAAGCGCTGCTTGGATCCAATTAAACGCGTTCCTATAAACTGCAGTTGTCATGTGATGTCAGTTTTACAGAAGTACTACTCGGCATCTAGCAGTGTGCTTCACCTTTGATGGTAAACAAGTGATACCCTATTCTGAAGGGTTAAAATTACTGGGCTGTTACACGAAGACTGCCTCATTGAGGGTTGTGTTTTGTGTAGTTATTGATCCTTGGCAAAAAAAACACTTGACCGTAAAGACTAGAGAACACTTTACTGGTACAAGGGCTAAAATAATATATGGAGGTGCACTTTAGTTTCCTGTAGAGCAGAAATCTCATCACATCCCAAACTTTACATTGATAAATACAGGAAGGAACATGTGACACTTGCATTAGTGTTAATTATTAAATTGCTATCTATAATATATTGATAATTTTCCTGTTTGACTTATAACTGAATGTAGGCAAGGACGGGAAAACCTCTTCAATAGTAACATTGAACATTAACACTTGTAGCACTGAAGGGTTATAATAGCTGGGGTGTGTGCCCTGAGCCAAAGGCCTAATTGATGCCAATTCAGGAGCAATGAGGGTGCAGGTGCTCCCACTGCAGGGAACAAAAGGTAGGAAGCTGTGACTTTAAACAGTATCGATAAAACATTACCTCTAAATTAAATAGAAGTAGGAGGTGGCAAAATAGATTGGAGATAAATTGTGGTCCAGCTACATAAAAGCCTTTAACTCATTCTTGAGATGGGTAACCTTTGGCACCCCAGATGTTTCCTAAATCTCCCCTCTAAAGCTCTTACAGCTGTGATAGCAAAGTATTAAGGGAGATTGTCCCCAACATCTGAAGTGCCAAAGATGCCTACTCCAGTCTTATTCAATATCAGATCATGTGTTCCAAAATTATGGAGCTTAAAAAGGTACTAGTATGACCTAATCTATAAAGCACTGATTGCTTCCAGGGCAAATACAAGATTGTCGTGGACCGTAACTGTATTCAGATGTGTTGGAGGTTTGCCCTATGGTTTCATGACCCATGGTATTTGCCAAAAATGGGGAAAAACAAGATTTTGTCATAATGTTAAAAAACTTGTAGAAAATTGGATTTAGTGAGCTGGTAACCATGTGGATGCCATTTCAGACTGTGAAACCGGTCTGAACTCTACATGGTCTTAAACCCAAGCCATAAGTGGGTTTTTTTTTTGGTTTTTTATTATATAAAACTAAATGGCTTGCAGTACTGTCAAATAACTGCATGTCAAGGGCTTATGAAATTTAGGCGAAATGGATTTATGCAAGGCTTAGCAGGCTAATGCAACTGAAGAGCTGAAGGCTGTTGTGTTAAAGTCCCTCTAAGGGTCTGTTTATAGAACTTCTAGATGGTAATATAATACATTTGTTGGTGTCCTACTTAACCTTGACTGCCGTGGTTAAGTCTTGTGGCTTGCTGTGACTAATAGGCCTACATTCAGGATTGGTGGCTAGTAAGGGAGTAGCCTCTGCTGGTAGTGCCTTGGTCTAACAATGACTCTCTCGAGCAACATAAGTTATATTTGGGTCATTGGTTTGACTATTCCTCATTGCTTTACTTAAAGCTTGGATTCACAAGCCACTGTGCACATGTGACGCGTATGGACCTGTGTGAGCACCTCCTTCACCAACTAGGAGTCCTCTGTATGTTGACCTGACTTGTAAGACTGCACGGAGAGGGTTGGCTCTTCAACCTGACTACCCATGTTGCATAGCTTTAAAATCTCAATCAGAATTTAATCTGCCACAGGCTGTGCAGCCTCCAACCCTCCTCTAGCACCTGTCATAGCTTCTTACTTCCACTCATGTCAGCAGCTCTTATTTAAACCACCAGGGAGATTTTCTGAATGAGAACAAAACATTCTGCGTCAGGAGCAAACCTCTAAAATATTTACTAGTTCTGTCTAATCTGTGCAATAGATGCAGAGGGAGCCTAGCCGTGGTGGTGATTTCGTATGCATGGCCGCATAATTGCATTTGGCAGAACATCATGCGCCCAAGCAGAAATGAGCACACTGGTTGACTGGGTCTTGCTTTATAGAACAGCTTAATATTGGCTAAATTAATATCTAGGTCTTAACTCTGGCCCGCAGTAAACTGTATTTAAAAATGTTGTTCTGGGGCTTGTGTACTATAGTCACTGCTGCCAATGTGTAGTGAGAGCTTGAGTACAGGGCTTAGTTTTGTTGACTTCAAGCTCTCTGCCTTGGTGTCTATAATGCGTGCACTCTTGGCATTCACTGTCAGATTGTAAATCCTCATATTGCACTCTCCCCATAACACAAAATGCACTTATCTGTATGCCCTGTCTAGATCTCTTGCTAGTGACATTAGTCTTGATTCTGCTCATACATGAGTCTACAACATGCAGAACCATTCCTATGACTTGAACAACCTTTTGAGTGCATCTTTTAATTATTCAAACAGTTTCTTTCCATATAACATGACATTTCCTGATCTCCATTGTCATACCTGGCTGTGTCTTCTCTTCCTGACGTATGTGTGTGTCTCTAGAAGCCTACAAGTAAACTGGCAAGGACAAGATTTGGGATAGGTAACTGCCTCTTCGTTCATATAGCCAGAAATGCCAGCAGAGCATAATGAGAATTGCACAGCATCCAAGGTTTACAATCACCAGACTTTTATCAATGACTGTAAAACTGACCAGCTTAAGTACCAGTGCTACATTTGAAATCTTCTGCATTCTAGCATGTGTATCTCTGAGGTAGTGGTTCTAAATGTGGTGGAATCTTTCAAAAGCACTAGTTTCTGTAGTGATACCTAAAAGTTACTAACTTTGGCTTCATGATCAACCAACCACTAGTTTAGTGGTGTGATGAACCTTATCTTGTAGTAATTGCTTTGGTTGAGTAGACTGAGGTAAAGATGCTTAGTTATCGACTTAACACATTGGAAAACAGGTTGACTTTTGAGCTTTTCTCTGCCTAGCTGCCAATAACCAAATATAAACTGGTAAAGGCTTAGAAAAACTCAGCAGCTTGCTGTTCGGTTAGCTGCCAATAAACAGGATTTGTTCTGACCATCTAGGTCTTGATCTCCTGTTGGGGTCTCGTCTTATCTTATTTTTTACTTGTTTCCTCTCGAACTATTGCTAAGTGTTGCCTGAAAGTTGTACAAGTTTATATCAACTGAACGGTCTCCACGTAGAACTCACAATTTCTTTTTTTTTTTTTTTATCTACTCTGCATATTGTCTACAGGTACGAACGCTATTCGTCAGTGGTCTCCCGATTGACATCAAACCTAGAGAACTATACTTGCTTTTCCGACCATTCAAAGTAAGATGAAGTTATAAACATGTGGTGGTCCCAAGTCAATATGGTGACAAGACTCTTCAAAAGTACTACTGTGACTATAAAACAGTGATTTTGTTTGTGCTTTGTTTTTCTACCCAAAAGCCTGAAAATTAAGACTTGTATGTTTAGTGAGACTGGTCAGAATATTTTAGAACTCGTGCTCAGAACCTGCAATAAGAATAAAACCAGACTGGAGCACTTAAAATTTTTATTTTTTTTCTTTGCGCATACAGACCCTTAAATCTAAATATTGTAGTACAGATGAAAAATCTGCTTTTTAATGGTTTTTAAATAAAATGTGTTAATATGATTGGTGTGAATTGTTAATCTCTAACTAGAGTTCCAACCTAGGAGTGCTTCAACAAACTGTTTTTATTGTGGGTTCTTGTATCTGTTCAATGGTTTATATTCCCATTATTGTGCATGCCATAAATATGCCCTCCTGTTTTCAATTTCAAATGTATAGTTCATTCTAGAGTGGTGAACCCCCTAATGCTCCTGTTTAGGTGTTGAGAAGCAATAGATCTTGGAACTGCTAAAGTTCAGACAAGCCGTTTTGGGTGAAGCCATATCTTACTGCCATCAGTCTGACAAGGCTGCTCCAATAACCTGGCACGTATAGTAACGGGCCACTTTGTGTAACGGTGAAAGTCTCTCAGACCGTCTAACTCATTGGAATTAAAGCTTGGGTTTTGGGAGGCAAAAGGGCTTATGGGAGGGAGATCACTAGCTGTAAGTAGTTCAAAATCTCTTGATTCCAAAAGAGGTAACTGGCTTATTTTTCTCTTCCCTTCTTTGCCTGAACTGGGGGTCATACGGCAGTGAAAGGTACAATTTCAGATTCCACCATTCTGACACTCTACATATATTAGATTGATGGGTTAAGTTGACTAAGATCTTACAATTTAAAATGCACCTCCCCATTTCCTTGCTGTTACAATGTCTAGTACATATTTTAACCTGTAATGCAGAGGGGTGTGAAAACCATGGTATTTTATCTTGTATGGCCTTGTCAATTTCTTCTCTGATCCCATCCTTAAACTGCACAGCATAAGCACAAATATCCACACTGACAGAGCACAGCCTTAGTCACTGCTGGGGAAGTATGGTTACCACTTCAGTTCTGCTACTGGGGACGACCACAGCACCACCCCATGGCAGTGTGCAATTACACCCCCTCTGCAGCTTGTCACTGCTGTTCCTGATTAGCAATGAAGACCTGTCCTTCCCTAGTTATCCAGCACTTCCACCTTCCCAATGCTGCAATAACATCACAGGCTTTGCACACTCCTGGAGTAGCTCCTCTAATGTATCTTCTACTTTTAGGGTTATGAAGGATCCCTGATCAAGCTAACCTCAAAGCAGGTAACTTTGACTTTTTTTTTTTTTTTTATCCTCTTACAAACTATAATACACCACGTAATTACCAATCAATAGATTCACCTTTTTTCCTTTCTCTTCTCTAGCCTGTTGGCTTTGTTACATTTGATAACAGGGCTGGGGCTGAAGCAGCAAAGAATGCATTGAATGTAAGTATCATGACACTTCAACCAACTCATTTCTAGATGTAAGTGATGGGGCAGGCTCAATAGGCATTACACTGGCCAGAATTAGCCATTGTTATGGTAGCTACTCTACCCTTAAAGAGAACTTTAAATTCTGAAGACTCTTTAATATTGTCCCACCACAAATATATTTTGGTCGATGTGTAAAGTTAAGGTGGGAATGTGAATGCACAATCTTAAATTTCTTCCCACAAACTCCCCTTGACAAGTGGATGGATCCACTTAACTGTAGATTCTACAGCCATGTTTGTAGTGGGCATTGCCTGATCAAAATATTCTTATGGAGAAGCAATGTTCGCGCATGCAACGTCAACAGTGCTTCTGTTTGATAACATAATGAGCATAGGCACAGCTATTGTCACAATCCACCCACTGCTTCGTGTAGAGAAGCATTGGGCCCACACATACGGTCTGCCTAGTGTGGCATTTTGGGAGGGGGAGGTGCAATTCGTCAAAAATGACACTCAGTGACATATACAGGAACATAATCTGTGCCCAAAAACTGGTTAAAATGATCTGGTTAACAGTTTTCACTTAACTGTAGAAATGCAATGCCTACTTTAGGTACCTTATCTCAATCCTCACTTTTCTTTGCTGTACCCTCCTAGGGCATTCGCTTTGACCCAGAGAACCCACAAACTTTACGGCTAGAGTTTGCCAAGGCTAACACAAAGATGGCAAAGAACAAACTAATGGCTACACCAAACCCCACAAACCTCCACCCTGCACTTGGAGCACACTTCATTGCACGAGATCCATGTAAGTTCTGCCTCTTACTGGCCTCTTAAGTTCTATCCAGTAACCTCCTATGACCTGGTATGGCTTGTTTTCTCAATGCTGTGCTTTGTGTGAAACATGCATGAACCTTGTTCAGACAAGTTACAAAAACATATATTTCCAGGTTAACACTTGATTTCTTGTCCTTAGATGACCTAACAGGGGCTGCACTAATCCCAGCTTCTCCAGAGGCCTGGGCTCCATACCCACTCTACACCACAGAGTTGACACCAGCAATACCCCATGCTGCCTTTACATACCCTGCTGCGGCAGCTGCAGCTGCTGCACTTCATGCACAGGTGAGTGCCCTTGCTCTGTTAACTGCATAAATTTTTCTTGTTGCATATACCACAATCTAGCATGGCTATTGCAGGGCCAAGGCCTTCTATAAAACTATGACCAATTCAATAGTCTGTAAATTATGACCATGTGTCCCCCTTTACCTCTAAGTGGGTGACTTCGTGTGCACTCGTCAAAGGAGCTAACTCTTGCTATTCTGCAATAAAATGCTTTGTATGGAGACTTAAGTTAAAAACACTACAGTCTGGCAGGGCTGTCTCTCTGCAAATAAAGTAAATGGCTTACCTATCTGCTCTACATGGTTAACAATTAATGTCCCCTCTTGACCCAAGAATCTTTTCAGATATGAAAGTGTCTCCAAGACTTCACAGTGCTCTGGTTTAAGATTGGTAACACTTAATCCTTAATCTATATAACTTGTCCAGTCTTATCGCCAAACCCTCTCGGGTGCTGTTTAGTCTCAGCCAACACAATGTTTTAGTGGAGATGTTAAACTCAATAATTTTTTTTTTTACATTTGGCATATTGCCTGTTTGCTTTCATATGATATGGATTTGATGCAGAACACTTGGATCCAGCAGTCTGCTCAGAAGGGGGTCTCTTGTTGATTACTCCAGAGTAAACAATACATTCTGTTTTGGGGATTTAGTGACCCTTGGTGCTTTATTTTCTCTCTGGACTCTATGACCTGTCCTGGATTTGTCAGAATATCCTAAAGCTGCACATTAGATCATGTAAAGTTTGCTAGACTGAAGTTTTGGAATTTATGGGAAAGCATTCACTACAGATGGGGTTCCTTTTGGATGGCTGGATATCAATTCAATATTACTTACAGTATCAAAACATTATGGTGCCAGAAGTGTCCTGGGACCCTTCCAGATAAGTAGTAAAGATCTCGTCTTTTTGGATTGATTTACCTGGCTCCAATCACCTGCTCCCTTGAGACTGTACAGAGCTTCCGCTGGCTGAAAGGGTGAGCTAATGGCTCACAGCCAGGGCCAGATTAACATAGGGGCTGATGGAGCTGCAGGCCCAGGGAATAGGCCCATTGATTTAAAATAAAATAAAAAAATTTACTTTTTTTTTTGGTGCCAATATTGCAGTGATACTGGCAATACAAATGCTGGTATTTTTCCCAGTATAAACAAGAGATTACTCTGCAATACCAGCACTGGCCAGTAGGGGTCGCTGTGTGGAGACAGGCAGGGATAGGATGTGCCAGCATATCCCTCCCTGCCTATCTATACTCACTGATCTGCAGGGGTACAGCTACAGAGAGTCCAGACAGCAACTCCCACCCTGCAGAGACAGCCTACAGCTCAGGGACGTAAGGGATGGGGGGGGAAAGGCTGCAAGGAGACATACACTGAGACACTAAGGGACATTGGGATACATTATGACACAGACACATGGGGACAGTGTCCCCATGTCTCCCAGCCAGTGTCCCTAGTGACTCAGTGCCCCCTAGTCTCCCAGTGCCCCCAGTCTGCCAGTGTCTCACTGTCCCCATGTCTCCTAGTGTCTCCATGTGTCACAATGTCCCAATGTCTCCAAGCTAGTGTCCCTAGTGTCTGTGGCCCTGGTGTCTCAGTGCCCCATGTCTCAATGTCCCCATGTCCCTCAACCAGTGACTCTAGTGTCTGTGTCCCCGGTGTCTGTGTCCCCATGTCTTCAAGTGTCCCCTATTTTCCTATTGTCCCCATGTGTCCCAGCCAGAGTCCCCTAGTCTCCCAGTATCACTGGTGTCTGTGTCCCTAGGTCTCCCTGTGTCCCCAGGTCTCCCCCTCTTCCTAGTGTCCTAGTGACATGGGGCATTGAGACACTGTGATACATAGGAGACCTGGGGACACGACACTAGGGGACACTGGGAGACATGGGGCACTGAGACACTGATACATAGGAACACTGAGACCTGGAGTAATCGACACATGGGGGCACTGAGTCATGAGGGCACTGGGAGACATGGGGGCACTGGGAGGAATCCATCTATACAGCAGAATCAAACTAAGTAGTTTTTTGGTGATTTTACAGCATTTTCTCTTATGTCACCCCTTGTGAGTAGAATAATTACCGTCAGGCTTTTTGCTGTAAACACTGTCTTTTCAGAGAAAATGCAGTCTTTACATTGCAGCCTAGTGATAACTTCACTGGCCACTCCTTAGATGGCTGTTATTTTTTTTTTTTTTTTTAAATCTGTTTTCTTAGATGGCTGTTAGAGATCCTTCCTGGGTCATGGCTGCCTAAAATGCATCCAAACATTCAGTGTCTCCTCCCTCTGCATGCAGACGCTGAACTTTCCTCATAGACATTCTTAAATTCAATTCATCTCTATAAGGAGATGCTGATTGGCCAGGGCTGTGTTTGAATCATGCTGGCTCTGACTCTGATCTGCCTCTTGCCAGTCTCAGCCAATCCTATGGGGAAGCACTGTGATTGGATCAGGCCACCACTTCTAATGATGTCAGCAGACTGCTTGTTTTTGAGTCTAATAGCATGCAGAGTTACAGCTTCAGGCTTGAATATAGTAAGATTTTGTTATATTTATGGAGGCATGAGTGGCCCAGGGGGGCTAGATGGTGGTGTTAATACTGTAGGGTCATGAATTCATGTTTGTGTTCCTGATCCTTTAAGGTAATGCTGACTTTGGTCTCTCTAACACTGTGGTATGTTCCCTTTCTTCTACACTCTCTACATACAGCTTTTCTCTGTCCCAGACTATATACCAGGAGCATCTGCCTGCTAGTAAGAAGATAAGGAGACAAGTGGACCAGCGAGTGCTAGGGGACAGTCCTTAGAAAGCGTTGAGTGAGCGTATCATTAGATGCATTTATGCCAAGCTCAGGGTGTTGTCTGCATAGTATGCGCTTAGTTGGCTAGCTGCATGATTGGCAGGCAGCCTGACATGCATTTATGCCTGGCTGGCCTTCTAATTCTTTGGGCAGACATGTCCTCTTTTTGGGCATGTTCGCCCCTTTTGCAGGTTACGTGATTTGTGTCAGTGGCACACCCTTTTACCATGCCCATTGACTTCCTGCTTGACAGGACACTGCTGTTATGGATTTACTTGAAAGATGAAAACATAAATTAGAGAGAGATTAGCCTAGGGTATGTGTTTTCTCATAGCTGCTGTTTTCTTTCTCTCCAGCACCATCTCCATCAGATACATGACGCTTGGGAGTGTTTTACTGTTTTTGGTCGATATGATTCTGTAATTAGGCCCCATCATGATTGTCAGCACCAGGCCCACTGTGCTCTTAATCTGGCCCTGCTCACAGCCAATGAGCTTAGCCCTGCACTGCCACCCTAACTCAGAACAGAAGTTCCTTCTCTACCATGGAGAAGGTAACTGACAAATTAACGCTATGGCAGTAGATCACAAGCTTCTGTAAAACTATTTTTATTTTACAGGGGTGCAATAAAGTAGCAAGAATAGTCTGGTCTCTGGGACCATATAGTCTATAAACTATCCTCTACCTCCTATGTAGCTACTGAATTACTAATTCCCTTCTATATTTGCTCTGCCAGCAGTATGGTGTATTGAAGGTATTTGGCTCTACCAAGTTTTGGTGAAATTACAGTTACTAGTGACTTTGACTTGGTGGATAATTCATAGCATAGAAGCAAAATATCAATTTTTTTTTTTTTAACTACCATCTAGGTGAATGCTCAATAGGTAAATCTATTAACCTTGCCCACTGACTTGAGATTTTTCTATTCAGCAGACACCTATGCTATATTGGAGGCAGGGCTCAATTGCCACTAGACATTGGCAAGTGACTATTTAGCCATGGTAAGCAGAAACTTGCCCTTGGTGAATGTGCAAAGGAATGAAAGCCTTGGTTAGTTGCATAGGACTTTAAATATTAAACCCTGTCAAACCTTTGTGAAGAAACTAATTGGATGCTGCTTATAACTTCATTGCAACAGGCACTAGTAACTTCAAATCTACAATTTATAAAGTTTAAAAAAAAAACCCTGTAAACTGCTGGAAGCAGATACTAGTTTACTTGGAGCTGTTCTCGCCTTAATGTCGCAATCTTTCCCTTCCTCCCACACTGGTCTGTGGGTGAAACCTGGTTTAGATGTATTGCTTTTCTAATACATTATAGTAGAATGTTTAAATGTTCTCTTCACTCCCTCCCCCCACTAGTGGATGGAAAACATCTGTCTTAAAATTTTTTTTTTTTTCTTGTGTTAATATCCCAGCTTGCTTAATAACTGTTCCTCCCAGTGGGAAATAACCAATCTACAAATATTAGAATATTGTCCCTCTAGTCTAAATACTGTGACTTGCATATACTTTATAAGTCACTTAATGCACTTTCTGCTTCACGGTATCCTAATAATTTTGTATATTGCCCTTTTGGGGTTGGCTATATATTAAAACTTCACTTTTAATATATAGTTTTAAACTTTCACTGAGCAGGAATTGCTCTTGTCAATGTCCACTTGCTATACATCAGAACAAGCACTGAGAAGTCTGTCAAATTTTTACCTCCAGAAATCTGACCTGGTGCTGTAAAGGGATGTGATAACATTTTGGTTTGGTAAAGTCTATTTGTACAGACACTTCAATGACATGACTCCGATTCCCATTAAATGTGTTTCCAGGGTTGGCGTACTCCATGGCTTGACAAATGGTCGCGCTTCCTGTTCCCACTTGGGCTCCTTTAAAATTAATTCCATATGTCTTACTTTCCAATGGGAAGCAAGGAAATGATTGTGAGAATGTCATGGGGGTTAAATGTTTTTCTGGAAACTATATCTGGCCACACTTTTTTTTTAAAACACAAATACTATAGAGATCAAAAACCTAATGCTCACTGTGCCTTGGCAGCTGGTAGGAATCGAAATTCACTGTAAACTCAATGCTGGTAACTTTCTTACATGGTCACAATGTTGTGGTGTGTAAATGGAATAAAGATTCTAATCAGAGGTTGCAGACTACAGGCTGAAGTATACAACCCCTCACAATTAAACAGAACTTGTCCACTTGGCAGATTTTATACTTTTTTTTTTTTATTTATTTTTTTTTTTTAAATTGACTGAGGCCATCAGTCTCCAAGAATTGGTAACTCCTATCTTTTCAGCTATTTTCCTTTGAACAAGGAAACTGTTACACTAGCCACTTTCACATTTCAAATTGATTGCACCTCGCTATATTACATGCAAATGCTCCATAGGAAAACCTATAGAACCATAACTGGCCTTGTTCTTTATCTGGAGATCAGGGTAATATTTGTATATGAAGAAATGGGGCAAGGTAGTGTAACCACAGCTGGTTCCCTTATTTACCACTAATGTCTTAAAGCATAGAACTTAGTAGGGATAGCCATAATTTTATATAGTTAGTGTAAGATCCTCTATTTAACATATAAATGAATACAATATAAAATAAGGATGGTATTGGAAGCAATAAAATTGTCTTTTTGATATTATATAAATATACATATAAAATCCATTATAGCAGAGTTTATAAAATTAAACTAAATGATTGCAAATATCAATAGGTTAACATACCCTTCTGAACATGTCGTCATTTTAGCCTCTGTCATTTTAAGATGGAGCAGCGTCTAATCTCAAAGTCTCTTCTGTTTCTACATTTAAAAGTACACTGATTTATACCTTAGGTGTCTGTTTTAGGGTTACTGTAGTTCATATATGAAAATAACTTTAATTTATCACTTTAGGATCTTCCTTACCTTGGCAAAAATACAAGGCCATAACTAAAGGGTGTATAAATCATGGAAATTTTCCTGACTTAGTTCAAGATGGCATCTTAAAGTCTGAACATCCTTATCTGAGGTTGCCACAGTATATTACGTACTGAAAGAGTCGTAGCATAGCCTTGAAGCTTGTTTATGCGTTATTGTAATTCGTCTGGGACAAAATGGCGTAAACATATTATGCACTGAGGTTATTGCTTAAAGAAACATCTATGAAAAACAATATGTTCCATTTCGAACACCTTGTCAGTTTGCAATATCTCTTAAAGACAAAGTACAGTTTAAGAAATACATTTCATTCTAAAAGTGTAATATTTGCATTTGCTCAGAACAGTAGAGAGCTGTGTACATGTTGCATTTTACATACTTTGTTTTCACTCTGGCTGCACTAGTATGAATAAACACCATCTCCAATAAATTTTTAGATGCGCTGGTATCCTCCCTCTGAAGCCACCCAGCAAGGATGGAAATCTCGCCAGTTCTGCTAAAAGCTATTTAGTAAGTATGGACTTGCTCGTGTACAGTTTAAAGCCTGCACTGGTACTTATCTAAAAAAAATTCCCTACTTTTGTGTGTACTTTGGCTGTGATTCAGTCCTGTGCTTTACCCACTCATCTGTGTCACTGTGCTCTGGCCAATGGGCAACAAAAGGCCTAAGTTCTTAATCCATCTTAAAGATTTCACTTTAACTTATTTATTTTTTTTACTTTAGGTTCATATTAGGCCTTTAACATGTAAACTTTATTAAGAAACTGTCAGGAAAGCCACAATAAATTTATATATTCTATCAATGTGTTGCCAGTAGCCTTAGTTCAGTTGGTACCAAGACAAATTTTGTAGCTGTATTGAAGTTTCTTGTCTAAGGACTCCATGTCCAGCTGATCTTCCAGAATCCGTTTGACCTTGCTCTATCATAAAGTGCCTGGAGGGATGAACGCTATGCTATGGGATAATTTATAATCTTTCTAGGATTGTTAATCTGAGCGGATGTCTTGGCTGCCTTCTCAGCCATTTCTAGATCAGTGTTTCAGGACTTGAGCCATATCTGCTGTCCTGCTAGAGCGTTTACATACCTTAAACTGCAGGGTTGTTTTGTTTTTTTTAGATTTCTTCAACTTTGTCTCTCCATGAAGTGATGTACCTGGGCATGATCTGGCTGTGTCAATAAATCATATCCTCTTTCCAGATGCCTCCAAACGTTTGGCCAACTCATCCAACATGGAGCCTTCATAACACTGCTTTCAATACAGACCTCGGCTGTCTACAGAATAAACACTGGTTACTCCTTCAAACCAGGGTCTAACTGCAGAGGCCCATTTATGTGACCTCAAACGTTGGGTTGAAGGCATGGTTGTTAGAGTGAAAGACTGTGTTAAAGTAATTTCTGTAATGGGAAGGTTTTTTCTTTTGCATGTTGCTTCTCTGGCATGAATTAACAATCTTGGTGTGTACTTGTTAAATCTACTGCTTGTGTAACAATTGCCGCAAGTCTCTATAGAATCCCTTTTGGATTATTTATCATGCTTCTGTGAAGGCTTAGCTCAATGCTCCCATTCCCCTTTAAGTTAAAGTGCACTGTTCTTTGGTCGCTAACTTACACCTTCAGTTTTTTTTTTTGCATCTTTATCGGAGAGTTTGTTCTTGCCAAATATAATGCAACCTTATGGGGAAACAGAGCAAAAGTACCAGTATTTTTGTAACTTGTTTAATAAGGAAATATTTATGCATTTAAGTGTTTTTTTCTTTTGTGTGATAATTATTAAAAAGAATATATTCTGTCATAAGTTAATGTTCGGTTAAAGTGTGGAGGTTCGGTATGGCTTGTTTACTGTACTTGAACAATGGTGCAATTTTTGTTGCAGTCTACTGCTTAATATTGATATTTCAGTATTAAAGGAATCTTGCTTGTCTGGAGGTTAAACTTCTCCACTGCTGATCCTATGAAAATGTGATACTGGATACAAATATATAAATATAAAAAATAAAAAAATTCTCAAAGTTTGTCTTGAGTTATCAATTTCTTGGTCTTAATAGTAAGCAGGAAATTAGGTCATCCAAACAAACTGACTCATTAAAACGACAATATTCATATTGAATGGACTCAATAAGCTCCTGGGTAGCTTTAAGACAGGAACAGGTGGTATTCAGATGAGTCAGCTAGACCAGTGATGGCTAACCATAACACCATAAATTGTTTCTGAACTTCCCATGATGCTCCACTCTTCTAGAGTCTAAAAGGTAGCAGAGCATCATGGGAAATATAGTCCAGAAACAATTTATGGTGTCAAGGTTGGCCATCACTGGTCTAGTCAAACTAAAGTCCATAATGTCTCTAACTTGTTAAATTGCATGGGTTGAATCTGTTAGTGGTATGTAGCACATGAAGGAATTCTGTAATTGAACACAGCGTCCCCGCCCTTGATTGTGCCTATGGTCTATATAAAACTGTGGTTCCCAACATCTCAGCTAAAGGCAACCTTTGTCATACTGAGGCACTTCTGCTCAGTTTTCTTAAATTAGCCAGCAGGTTGAGAAGGTTCATGTGTACTAGAGAAGGATAAACTTGGCAAAATTGACTTTGACTTTGTTTTAATTGTCAGGCAACTGTTTTAATCTTAAATGCTAGTTAAGCACTTAGTGGGCACCATGCAACATTAGTCCTGCATTCAATGTAGTTTTGTCACTGTCATAACTTAAAGGACCACTATAGTGCCAGGAAAACATACTCGTTTTCCTGGCACTATGGTGCCCTGAGGGTGCCCCCACCCTCAGGGTCCCCTTCCCGTCCAGCTCTGGAAGGGGGAAAGGGGTAAAAAACTTACCTTTTTCCAGCGCTGGGCGGAGAGCTCTCCTCCTCCCCGTTGGCTGAATGCGCACGCACGGCAAGAGCTGCGCGCATTCAGCCGGTCACATAGGAAAGCATTCATAATGCTTTCCTATGGACGCTGGCGTGCTCTCACTGAAAATCAGTGAGAAGCACGCAAGCGCCTCTAGTGGCTGTCAATGAGACAGTCACTAGGGGAAGGCTTAACCCACTGATAAACATAGCAGTTTCTCTGAAACGGCTATGTTTATGAAAAAATGGGTTAACCCTTGCTGGACCTGGCACCCAGACCACTTCATTAAGCTGAAGTGGTCTGGGTGCCTAGAGTGGTCCTTTAAGCACACTTGTTAAACTGATCTAGAGCACCTATAGAGGATGTTGTGATTTGAAAGGGGCAGATACACTGCCATTAACTGTCAATTCTGCCCAGATTTGGCCACCACTTGGACTGGTATCTCGGACCTTCTTATCAAACTGACAGAACCAGGGACTGCACTAAAGGCAGGGTGGCACCAGAACGCTACAAGATTTTGATATGTAGAATAGCCAATAACCAGGAATGAACTATAAATAGGGGATCTCCCCTGAACACCCTCCCCAAATCCAGAATACTTAGTCATTGCATCCCTGAACAGCTACCCCTGTCCAAAGAGCACCAGGGTTAACCATATGGGGGTTCAACTGCCACCCACCTAAAGGTTTGGCTGGGTGTAAGTTCTGATCCATGTAAAGTTCCATCTGGCTGACTCTAACTTCTGTCTCACCCTGGTCTCTACCAGGATGCTACTGCAACCAGGTTCCTGACAGTGTTCTCAGGTAGGTTGCATCTGCAGGGGAAGGCAGAAAGACGTCAAGGTTGAGTGATCTCTGGTGCTTTTCAGGATGTTCAGTGATCAAGTTTACAGTAGTGAGGAGGCTGGCCTCTCCATGAACCACAGTAACAGGGGATTCTGTCCCAGATTGGTAAATTCCCCAATCTAGAATCAGAGCTTGAACTAGTAAATCTCCTGTATCAACTGAACTGGATGCACACCACTTACCGTGGACTTCTTCCAAGGGTATAATCTCCGCTCCTGCCATACTGTTACCTGATGCATTTTGGTTTAGACTGGCTCATATCTAACCAAAATGAGTCTGCTGGAAAGTACCTGTAGCAGGAAGAGGTGGCTGGTCCTTGGCTTTGGACCCAGACCTGCCCCTTGCATGGTCAGTCCTTTTCTAGTGACCAGGAATCTCTACCAAGGTTGCATTTTCCTTCCTATCTCAGCTGGATGCTCCTCATGTAAGGATTATATCCCTGATGGGGGAATGTAGTGTTGTAGCTTTCCAGGATACCCAACAAACCTTAGCCAAGGCTAAATGTAGCAGGTCAGTGAACTTGATTTTAATAGGATACACATATGGTATTTATACCTTATTTGAACAGTAAACCTTTAACAAACAAATGTCTCCTATGGTTTACATATCACATTGTTGAACAGGTTTGCCTTCCCAGCCTCCAGTTTAATGTTACTTTAAATGGCCACAAAGTATTTCAGTTTTGCCTTGTAACTCCCTTGTCCTGGGTGTTGAATGTAAGCTTTTTGCAGCCACTTTTGCTGAAAGTTTGAAGTGTAAGTTTTGATAATGGGTGGCAGTGACACTTTTTATCAGGTTTCTACAAGCTTGGTAGCCAGGATAGATGGTGGGAAACTTGGCTACATGTTGAACTTTGGGTGGCTGTTGAATGTGCAGGGAAGGAAGCCTAAATTGGATAAACAGTCTGTGCTGGGGAAGGAGAGGGCAGGCAATGGATACTAGATCTGCAACTATTGCAGCAAAAATTCATAAAATCCTGCAGAAAACACGCAAAACATCAGTGCACTTTTTTTCACGTATGAGTATTTAGTAGAAATAAGTAATTTATTTCTGGAAAATCTGTAATGAAGGAAAACTTTTTTTTTTTTTTTTACACAAAACCAAACCTAACTAAAGACTAGCTTCAAAGTCTTATAAACAGCTAAAAGAATATAAGGAAGCCAGTTCTCTATACTGCATCCAAATGTGCTTCAAACAGCACCTCAGCAATTTTGCTATGACTAATAGTGATCTATAAAAAAAAAACACCACACACAACCACTTTATTAAAATATGAAACTTATTCCATTCTCCATCCTCTGTCCATACTCCATCTGATGCTCCAGGGCTGCCCCTTTTCTGTGGAACTCCCCTTCTCCATTCACCCAGTCTCCACTCTTTCAAAAAATCTTCAAAAACACACTTCAGGAAAGCATATAATTTAAACTGTTAGCGGGTTTTCATTCCCTCAATATGACTTCTTCCCTGCAACTGTCAAAAATAACCCAAGTTCTCAGTGAATACTTTTATAGCAACCTTTTCATTACCCCTACTAATAACCCTTTGTGTCACTATACCCCACTCCCTCTAGCATGTAAGCTCATTTGAGCAAGGTCCTTAACCCCCCTGTGCGTCTGGTTACAATTACGTGTCTGTTAGTCCACCCATTGTACAGCGCTATGGAACTTGCTGGTGCTATGTAAAAAAAAAACAAAAAAAAATTATAATGAAATGCACTCCATATTTTAAAGAACACACCCTTATGGTCAGGAGATAATTGTATTATCTATATTCATACACGAGACACTGAATCAGTTTACACAAATTTGTGAATGTTTGATTTTTCTTCTCTGTTGAAGGGGAGGGGGGAGATGGGGTATGAGAGGTTTGTTTCTAATTGGCGTCTCTGTAGTGACTGGTTATTTAATGACTCAATAGGTTAAACAGCCTGTTAAACATTAAGACTCCCGAAAGCAATTAAAGAACCAGCTTAATTCAATGGAAAATGTAAGCTACAGAGGAGTATTTAATGTTAAGTACCAAGCACACGCTGCCTATATAGGGGTTTCTCCTTTATAGTTTCACCACATTGCACAATCCTTGTGAATTTAATTTTCAGCTCACAAAGTTAATAATCCAAATTGAAAAATGTATGCTACAGTCTATTTTTAGACTGAATTTTCAGTATCTGTTTTTCTTTAAAAGAACATTCATGCTTCTGTTAAAAAATAAAATTTTTCTCAAGTATACTTTTTTTTTTTATATTAGAACACTGCCCCCTCTGTTCGTATCATTAAAACGAACTGCAAAAAGTAGTAAAACATACCTTTATTCTAGTCCTAAGTGAGTCCTCTAATGGCAGCCCCATTCTTCTGGTCCAACCAGCCGCCAAGCTCAGCCAATCCAATGTTTCTTTGCAATCAGCATTGTCATCAGAGGCATAGCAAGGTCACTTGTCATTCATGGCAGAAATCTACGTGGGCACTCCCCTCAATTTTAAACTTTGTGTGTGTTTATCCTGACCCTCCTTGTGTATCTTATAATCCCTTTTCAACCTTGTGTGTCTCTTAAACCTTTTCACTTTCTTTTTTCTTAACCCACGTTACTTCCGTATCATTTAACTCCCCTTACCACTTGTCTGTTTCTTAAGTCTTTTACCGTTTTGTGTTCCCTACATACATACAAAAATGGACACACGCAGTCGCAAATTAAATTTCTACACAGTTATACACACAGTCACTTACACAAACGCACACCGTCACATGCACATAGTCAAACATACATACACAGTCATGTTCACACAACCTCCGAGTCAAGTGCATACTGTCAGACATATTCACAATATAACATACAGACACATGCACACAGTCATACACATAATAGGTACACACACTCAGTCACACACAGTTACAGGCATATACACAGTTAGTCACTGTTATAGGGGAACACACATTTAGATACCAAACACATAATCACAGGCACACAGTCCCAAACATAGTCACAGTCATTGTTACAGGGAAACCTAGTCTCACACACACACACACACACACACACACACACACACATCTACAGTCACGCACAGTCTCTCACACACACAGTTACAGTCACTCATATACACAGTAACTAAATCTGCCTACCTTTTTTAGCACGGGTAGCCAGGACTGCCATCAGAAATTTTGGGGCCTCTGACACAGCTCAAGGTCTGGGCCGGGCCCCCCGGTGCCTGCACCCGAGTCCACCCAAAGAGCTGCTCCCCATCCCCCGAGTCCGCCCACAGGAATGCAGTGTCTGCAGGGCCGGTGCAAGGATTTTTGCCGCCCTAGGCAAAAGTAAAGTTTGC